GTGTTATATTTTAAATCTGCCATCTACATCTAATTATAGAATTGGAGTAAACATGTCATGATGAATGTACAAAATTCACGGTATGAAACTTGGCTGTAAAATGTGTGCCCGCGAGATCAAAATGCCAATCATTTTAACTAGTATGATATGTCATGTAAAAAAATTAAAACGATCAAATCTGCAAACAGTTGCAGTAGTGAGGTGACGCTAAAACTGACATCAAGGCATGTTTATCACTAACGGGGTCTCAGCTATATAAAGGAAGGACGCCATAGTTAAGACCCTGTTGACAGTTACATAAAATTCTTAGGTGAACAGACTTATGAGGTCTGTTCTGAGAAATTTCCTGTTTAAATTGACTCTACAGACAACATCAACAGTCTGCCTGCCTTCAGTCCTTCTCCTGCTACAGTTTATCCTCAAGGCACCAATACTTCTTTCTCTTGGGTGACAATCCTCCTCCTGAATTGATCTGTAGTAGAACCATTTCTGTGGGTTCTGTTGATGGACAATCCTTGAACAGCCTTCCAGATGTTGGGATGGCTGCAGTGCCAAAGGGTTCCAGATGGTGTTCTGGGCCCAGTTGATGGACAATCCTTCTGCTGCAGTGCCGAAGGGTTCTTATGTTTCTGGGCGTTGATGGACAATCCTTCTTCAGTGCCGAAAGGGTTCTTTATGTTCTGTTGATGGACAATCCTTCTTGTTGCAGTGCCAAAGGGTTCTTATGTTCTGGGCGTTGATGGACAATCCTTCTTGTTGCAGTGCCAAAGGTTCTTATGGTTCTTAAAGGTGTTCTGGGCGTTGATGGACAATCCTTCTTGCTGCAGTGCCGAAGGGTTCTTATGTTCTGGGCGTTGATGGACAATCCTTCTTGCTGCAGTGCCAAAGGGTTCTTATGTTCTGGGCGTTGATGGACAATCCTTCTTGCTGCAGTGCCGAAGGGTTCTTATGTTCTGGGCGTTGATGGACAATCCTTCTTGCTGCAGTGCCGAAGGGTTCTTATGTTCTGGGCGTTGATGGACAATCCTTCTTGCTGCAGTGCCGAAGGGTTCTTATGTTCTGGGCGTTGATGGACAATCCTTCTTGCTGCAGTGCCGAAGGGTTCTTATGTTCTGGGCGTTGATGGACAATCCTTCTTGCTGCAGTGCCAAAGGGTTCTTATGTTCTGGGCGTTGATGGACAATCCTTCTTGCTGCAGTGCCAAAGGGTTCTTATGTTCTGGGCGTTGATGGACAATCCTTCTTGCTGCAGTGCCAAAGGGTTCTTATGTTCTGGGCGTTGATGGACAATCCTTCTTGTTGCAGTGCCAAAGGGTTCTTATGTTCTTCTTGGTCGTGATACGAAATCTGTGTCCATTATAAACTAAGTTCTGTCCTCCTTGAGAGTTGGAAACAAATCTCACAGTAACTTGAACATTGGCCATTTCAATGAAAATGGAATGTATGGACTGCATATTTGGCAGTGTTTGTTTTCGTTAAACTTGTTACACAACTCACTAATAGTTCATATTCACTCATAGTTTAGATTCACTCATAGGTTAAATTCACTCATAGTTTATATTCACTCATAAGTTAGATTCACTCATAGGTTAGATTCACTTATACTTTAGATTCACTCATACTTTAGATGGGGCGGTGGGGTAGCCTAGTGGTAAAAGCGTTGGCTCGTCACGCCGAAGACCCGGGTTCGAATCCCCACATGGGTACGATGTGTGAAGCCCATTTCTGGTGTCCCCCGCCGTGATGTTGCTGGAATATTGCTAAAAGCTGCGTAAAACCAAACTCAGTCAGTCAGTCATACTTTAGATTCACTCATAGTCTGGTCCAGATGTCGCATGGTGCCCGTCCCCCACCCCGCAAGAGAAAGTACGCAGAACTCGACCAGTGGGTCACACGACTCAAGGATCAGCTGACATCTGGGGTGAAGACACCACTGGAATTCCTGTCAGCTGCCGGACACTTAATTAAATTAGCGTAAATATATAGAAATTGTGTAAAAAATAAGGATAAAAATGATTTTCACAATAATGTGAAACAGGTGTACAAAATTGGTGTACCAAAAAATGAATGAAAACAAGAAATGAACACTAATGAATTATTGTAGGCAAAAGTGCACACTCAAATGGAACATACCACTTTAATCAAAGGTTGAAAGCCAGGGGCGTAGCTTCCATTATAAAAAAAAAAGCCCGGGCTTACACATGACTGTTGCCAAAAAGGTTGGGAAAGCCCTCAATAATATCTAAACATAAAGCTTGCAACCTATCGGGCTTACACGAAATAATTGGCTTGCTACGCGCCTGAAAGCAGTAAAATTGAAAACCATTGGTGCGTCAAGTTGTTCATATAAGGCTGTAGGCGTTATTCCCGGGTGCCCCGGTTTCCCAACATTTCTTCAAACAACAAAATCAGCCAGGCGTAGAACAATAGAAGGATTAGTATGGGCACACACTTGGTAGGGGGTGTCAGGTTGGACTGCTTAATATGCCTCAAACCGAAATGTGTTCACCAAACTTGATGTATATCTATCAAAGACATGTTAGAAGGTATTACTTTACAAGAAAGCTTAACAACACAGCTTTATGCAAAGTCACGAAAAGGAATTGTCAAATGCATTCATATTTAGGTGAAATGCATCTTTTTTCAAAGAGTTAAATAGTCCTATTTTCGAACATGCCGAAATAAACCAATAACAGTGATTTAGATGTCCAAAAGAAAGGTTGAAGTAAAATTATGGGATATGTTTGATGTGATTGATGTTGAATGATGATACATTGTCATAAATGTAATAAACAACTACTTAACAGTCCACTCCGTTTTGTTATGTTTGAGTCACCATCTCCAAACTGTCACCCCTAAAATAAATGTGAGTGTGTCCCACAGTTCTTAATCCTCTAATCCCTCCGTTTACTTAAGTTTCCAAATGTTGGGAAACAGGGACACTTTTAAAAAATACTGAAAAATACTCCTGGGTAACCGTAAATCCCTTGTTAAATCCTTAATTTAAAGGTCACATGCAACGTAAAACACAACTGCAGATTCTGATACCTTTAATGCTTTCATAAACTAGAACCTCATAAACTATTTGTCTCTGGAATCATCTGTAAGTATGGACTTAAAGAAACAAATCATCAAAAATGCAAATTCAACTTATAAAGTTGAAAAATAACCCGATGAAAAAAAAAGCGCGAAATCGTAGTTCAAACGATTCGCTAATTTTCCCCCAGCGCTTGGGGGAATTCAAGTGGTTTCAACAGCTGGGCTGCGCTCATAGCACGTGCGCAGTGAAATAGGTTCGCGCAGCTTGGAAGCGGGTTGTCCGGTGAATACTCGGTGAAGGCTTTGGTGTGGGCTATTTTTCTAATGTTTTGTTGATGTTTCACAGTCGCGAGCTTTTTATATGTTATGACAGTAAATTAACTGTTTATATAATTTCATTTGTCTATTTCACCACACGTTCTTCTTACCGAGTCACTTTCTCAGTTCGATACTTTAAAAGCAATGTCATAATTTAGCGTTGACAGAATTTCTAACTGTGATATAGATATGTCGTTGTCACAGACAAAACGCAATGCCTGTTTTATTGACACCTATGTGTCTGCCTGCCTGTCTGCTAATGACCATATTCAATACACAACTTCGATCACTGACCACATGCAATTTGAACTTAACACCAATCAGGCTATACACCATAAACAAAACGCATTGATTTATGGCCCGAGTTCGGTCTCTGTCACATTATGTAATTACACAGACAGGCAGGTGTGATACTTGTACACATGACATGTTATGATGTCTGTTGATTGCAAAATCTTATACACAAAAAAATGAGCATGTATTTACAAAATCCAACATCTCTATATATACACACACAATGAGCCGTGAGGGCATCGGCAAATGAATCAGCCGTTACACTTGAGTGCACACCCACCCGCTCTGACTGGGTTCGGTATCCCGGCTGCTTCGTTTGGAGGGAAGTAAACCCAAGTACAAAATATTGCACTTTTGATTTGCGATTGTACGCTTATATGTTTTTTCATAATCAGCAATGTATATTATATGTCATGAATAAGTGATTATTGTGTTTTAATTATGTTTGATTTTTTGGTTGCATGTGACCTTTAAGTTTCCAAATGCTGGGAAACAGGGACTCATTTAAAAAATACTGAAAAATACTCCTGGGTATCCGTTAATCCCATATTAAATCCTACTACATTCAGGGAGCGGGCACATTGAGGTTAAACCGTTGTAAGACATATGTCGCAAGCTCTCGACCAATGAAATGGACATACACGGATCCAACCGACAGCTCAGCTCAAACCGATTTTAACACCTGTGATTACAACTTACACGTCGCCAAGACCAGCGCAATTGCCCTTGTTTGCATGTCTGTGTGCATTAGACCGTAAATGTCTTTTCAAATTTCAATAATTTTATACGTCACTATAGCAGGACGTTAACCTGCATTTAGCCCATTGAAATCATATAACATTACATACCAGTTATCTCCCTTTGCCAACCAACACAAGGAGAACAATTGTGTAAATCTCATTTTGCAAAATTGTTTATGTCTTGAAAATGTCATCTTTAAAACATTGTTTTGGTCTGTCTTATAATTCCACATCGATTTAGGCTTTCCTTTTCTTCTTCTGAAGCGTCTACGATTTATATTAACGCTTCGTCACTTTAATCCATCTTGTCCAGTGACGAGTGAGAATGTCGCCAAATACGAGTTGAATGCGACTTAAAAGTTCAACAAAGTACAGCCGTTTTTATTCATATCGCTACTACAAGTGGTATGCAGCAAGTTGTTTGTCCAAGGAAAATGCACCTTTCAAATAAGTAATATGTTTTCGTGGGGTGGATTGCAAGGGTGCACCTGAAAGTTTATTAAATCATAAGCGGATCTAGGTGAAAATGAACACTCTCACCCCCAACCCCTTTTCAAAAGGCTGTGTCTGTATCTGTCCAGGTTTGTTTTTATTAAAAGTAAATATCTGGTAGACTAGGTTACAAGTGTAGGCATGTATGTAATGGACCACTGAACACAGACGGTGATAGGACAGACAGGGTATTTTCACTCCCCTGCTCGTTGCCGTGCACAGTCCGACAGCTCGGTTGTTTTCATCAGGACGTACTTTGTGTTCAACATTAACTGCTGTGGTAGCCGGTTGCTGTTTATACCGAGGTAACAGATTACCAAGTCAGTTATCATTTACACCATTTATCATCATTGTAAATGGCAGTTTATGTGTTATATTTTAAATCTGCCATCTACATCTAATTATAGAATTGGAGTTATTGCTAAGCTCTTATGATCTAAATTCAGGTCAATGAAACTTGGCTGTAAAATGTGTGCCCGCCCGATCAAAATGGAATCTTTTGACTAGTTCATTGTCATCGTACAAAAGTTAAAACGTCCTTACGTTCTCGAAAATGTGTGAGGTGACGACTGCGTTGCCTAGCGGACGCCATTTTGTTGAGTTAAGAAAATTCTTAGGTAGACTTATGAGTCCTCTAGCTGTGATGACTCCTAACATTTGCTCACCCTGAGAGTACTCTTAAGAGTAAAGAGGCTTTATAACTAGGTCTGAAAATATTACCAAACTTAAGAGAAACTCTCACAAAATTCTCAGTAATTTCTACACTTAGGAGTAACTTTTAATTCTTAGAATTTTTATAAATACGACCCCTGATATGTTGAAACAGGCTGGTAAGTGAACTTTCTTCTCTTTTAATGACGTTTTCAGACTGCTTCTTGGTACGCTGCAGGGGGACAAATGTCCCCGTAATGACATATTCCCCTGTAGTTGTAAGAGTTCCAAAAAAGATGTCGTAGTTTGTGGATGTTTCCCTTTTTTTTAATGAGTGAGTTTGGTTTTACGCCGCTTTTAGCAATATTCCAGCAATATCACGACAGGGGACACCAGAAATGGGCTTCACACATTGTACCCATGTGGGGAATCGACCCCGTGTTTTGGGCGTGACGAGCAAACGCTTGCACCACTATGCTACCACACTTCCCCTTCTTCAATGACCAGTTCGGGATGAAAAAGTTGTTTTGGTTTTTTTCGCCTGTTGAATTCGATCTACTTTCTATTACTCCAAAAACATTTGTCATTTTTTTATCAATGATATGCAGTCGTACATTATCTCATTTATGACATGTCTGTTTTCTGAGATTTGAACCAGAAAGACCTTGGTTCGTTGGTCTGGATCAAAATCACTAACCTTACCGAAAAGAAACTCACTGCCTTCCCAACACAAGATAGATGTATCATTTATGTTTAGATTGCACATTCAGTATAGACAGTACTTTCCATGAAATCTAGTGCACTGTTTTTGTCGATTTTCTTCTTGATCATGAATACAGACATGTTATTCAGTAATAGGCCACTGGCCCAAAATACATTTATAGATATAGATTTTGCATGAAGTTGCATAGAGCATATAATTATTAACATCAGGTCTAAAAAATATACCACGGCTACCAAATTACTCGATACGTTCCATAAGCTGATTAATAAAGGTAATAAACAATTGAGGGCTGAGGATGCAACCCTGTCTAGTACCTATACTACAATCAAAATAACTTGAATGACATGTTCTGACACAAGCCGACAACCTACCATACATTGATACAAGAATGTTATGGAATTTACCACAAACAGCTTTTTTCAGACTTGTCAGAAGAATTTTGTGATTAACTGTATCAAAGGCTTTTGAAAAAATGCATAGTCAGACATTAAAACCTTCCTTTCTTCTTACATGAAAATATCTGTATCATAGCTTGAAGGGAGAAAATATGATCAGTAGTAGAATAATTAGTCCTGAATCCTGCCTGTATGAAGAATACTCTTCTCCTCACACCAAACCTTTAACCTACTATTGAGAATGGAAGTGAATATTTTACAGAGAGAATCAATAAGAGAGATACCTCTATAATTATTGGAGTTACTTTTTACACCAGATTTGTAAAAGGTGCAAATAATGCTTTTACCCCAAGACACAGGAAAAATACCATCTTGAAAGATCTTGTTATGCAAAACTGTTCAATAATTGCTGATAAGAGTCTTAGAAGCTTTAATAAAGTCAATTGCAATACCATCTGTTCCAGGGGACATATTTTTTGTCAGTTTATCAATGTGAAGTAAGACTTCATTTTTTATTGTCACAATTTAATGTTTTTAGCTCTTCGTTCTTGAAAATGTCTGAATTGATATCATAGTCGATGGGCACAATGTGTTACATTATCAGAGTTCTCAGTTAGAAGCCCTGAGTTCTCAGTTAGAAGCCCTGAGTAGTGATTGAACCAGTCTTCACTGCTTATATCATTCGTAGTGTCACATTTTGAGGTTGAACCGGATTGCTTTAATGTTTTCCGAAATTCCTTTGGGTTGTCTCTTGCTGCAGTAAGTTTCTCTTTTTGTGCATCAAAGTATGCTCTTCGTTTGCTATTGAAAGTCTTCTTAAACGATTTACGCAGTGTTTCATGAATCACAATATCCAGGTCACTGTCTCCGTGATCTCTTAATGCTTTATATTTCACATTTTCAATTGTTCAAGTTCTTGGTCTCACCATGAGGGTTGAGGTTTGAAATTGATATCATGGTAACCTGAAAATAACTACTTATTGTGCACTGCAGCTCGTTGATACAGATCAGTGAAAACATTTAATGAATCTTCAATTTTGGTGTCTATACAGTGATGTAATTTGCTGCATAGGCTTCCAAACAATTCTTGGAATTTAGAGATAAATAATGCACAGTGTTCTCCACTCCACACATACTTAGTCCATATCATTGTATTATCTTCTGTTGAATTGCTAGTTGGAGAATTTAATGGTACAGTTGGCTGTACTGCACCAGTGAGTGAGTTTAGTTTTACCTCGCACTCAGCAATATTCCAGCTATATGGCGGCGGTCTGTAAATAATCGAGTCTGGACCAGACAATCCAGTGATCAACAGCATGAGCATCGACCTGCGTAATTGGGAACCGATTACAATGTACTGCACCAATCATTGGGTAGCTGGATATTCAGAGATCAGTACATAGGGAAATGATCAGACACATCATGAATCCTTTTATATAGTACTAGGGTAGGGTCTATATACCTATATGTCTTTCTAACGCTGTTTCTAAGCGTGACACGCCCCTGTGCATGAGCTCGACGACCACCATTTTCATCATGAAAGGTTTCTGTACCAGATATAATGCACACAAAAGATAATCATACAGCGTGACTGTACGTCCAAGTCCCAAAACTGTTTGTGCAACACGGTTGGTTGAACATGTCCACGTCATGATAAGGCATGCTTTTGGTATTACATGACTATAATTATACTGTAAAGACATTATCTCTTATATTTTCCAAAAACATAATAGATATCTGTCAGAATGCACGCTTTCTTTTAATTGTGTAACCGAAACAATATCCACGAGGTCACTTGGTAAAACTCACAAGCGTGAATTTGTAACTGGTGCGTGAACTCATGAGACACCGTCACCACGCCCAAATCAAAACACCTTTTGAAATCCCTAGCTAGGTTCTGAGTGCTCACAACCTCCGAGTATGAGTCACGGGGCGCTTGTCGACATCCTGAGTTATGATAATTACCAAAGTGTTAACCCAAGTAAAACTTAATATGATGTAATCCCTTCTAGTTGTGGAATAAATCGTGTATATCCGTCAGTGAGTCGTCTCAGGACATTCATTGTAAATTACAGGAGCTCCCGATAACAGATCTAGCATACTTTCTTGGGTGACTAGGCACGAACCGAGCAAAACTCTTGGTGCACGTGTTGCTTGTATACTCTTCAAAAACAGTAGGGGAACTTCATTTTTAATTTACGATTGAAAAAATTGGGAGATATATCGGTGTCAATCAATGTTGATATGATAATAATGAATGTATTTAGGGTGCATCACCACTTGCACTTCCTTATGACCATAGTTGTTTGTACATTACAGTAATCGCTCTTGAAAGATGATTGGTATATGGCGTGAAATTAGCATGTGTACGATTTTCATCTCAAACAAAACAAAAATGGAGAGAAACAAACACTAACAACTGTGGGATGAAAGATGATTGTCAAAATTAATGGATTACAGTGATTTTTCGACCTTCTTGAAAACTGTCACAATCAAAAATGACACCCCATGCACGTGTATGGGGCTACTGCGCGTGTATCCCTTGCGTTGTATTTAGGGGTGGTGATAAAGAGAAATGGCGGTGTCTTCATAAGATGTGTGTCTTTGAAAAGTTTGTTAACGCTTACACTTCCTATCCAGATTGAAAGTTCAGATTCCCCTACTTCTTTTAAAGAATATATTATGCCCAAGGGCATTTGATAGGCACATACATACAGTTCAGAGGTTGCCAGGAAGCTTCAGTGCCATAAGAGACCACCATTACTTAATCTCCACGTCCGGTGGTATCACTTTCGAAATGACAAACTTCAAAAAATATTCTTCATGAAGGATATCAGATTACACTGTGCACAAACAATGTCAATAATATTAAGTATGTCCAATATATGTCAAACGTATAGAACTCAAGAGATGTGTTGCATGCCAGACAAACATGCCCAATGCCATTTCGTTTTGACACTGCCATGTTTGGGATATGTATGTAATGGTGTCATTTTCAAACACTACTGCAACAGTTGAGGCATAGTCGATTCTATTTCCAAATATTTTAAGACCAGTTAATTCAAACCTGAAATAACTATGCATTCCTATGAATTTATGAATAAACCTATAAATACCTACACATTCCTATGGAATTATGAATAAAACTTTGATAACTATACATTCCTATGAATTTATGAATAAACCTATAAAAACCTACACATTCCTATGGAATTATGAATAAAACTTTGATAACTACACATTCCTATGAATTTATGAATAAACCTATAAAAACTACACGTTCCTATGAAATTATGAATAGACCTATAATAACTATACATTCCTATGAATTTATGAATAAACCTATAATAACTATACATTCCCATGAATTTATGAATAAACCTATAAAAACTACACATTCCTATGAAATTATGAATAAAGCTATAAAACCTACACATTCTTATAAAATTATGAATAAACCTATAAAAACCTACACATTCTTATGAAATTATGAATAAACCTATAATACGTACACATTTCTATGAAATTATGAATAAACCTATAATACGTAGACATTCCTATGGAATTATGAATAAACCTATAATAACTATACACTCCTATGAATTTATGAATAAACCTATAATACGTACACATTCCTATGAAATTATGAATAAACCTGCAATAAACACAGATTTTATGAAAGTTCTGTTTTGTTTAACTCTAACAACAGCTGGTATGGTTTTCATTGATATACCTTGTGATCCTCAGGTTGGAGGCTTTCTTGTTAATTAGATGATAAATCCCAGTATTTTGTTTCCGTTTGCATAAAACTGCATTTTTAAGTTTCACTTTTAATGAAAGTTGCAAAGTATGTCCTAAGGGGATTCCGATGGTTCTTTAGGACTTTGGGAGAAGATTAGGCCATTCTTGGTCAACGAGTACAGAAAACTCCCTGTGTAGAATACCACCGGTCGCCTGTCGCCGAATTCAGATTACCATCGTATCATACCAGATCTGCTGGGTGAAGAGAGGCAGTTTTGAACAAACTCACTTGCCTAAGGTGAGACCACATGTATCACATGTGCTTCGTTGTGGGGCGGGACTGAGACCCCAGCAACTCTTAGGAGTCAGACCGCCTCCGTGGTGTAGTGGTTAGAGCGTCTGCCCGGAGAGCGGAGGGTCGCGGGTTCGATCCCCGACCGCGTCATACCAAAAAGACGTTAAAATATGGTACTTGTTGGTCCCTGCCTGGCGCTCGGCATTAATGGGTACAACAAGGACTGGTCGGCTCGGAGTCAGTATAATGTGTCTGAGTGGGGTATTCATGCTTCACTGCGGCTTGGTATCTCAGTGAGTTAGCACTATAAAACCAGCTGAAGTCTGGGCTAGTACAAGCAGCCGCACATACACATACACACACATGCACGTCGTCATATGAGCGAAATATTCTCAAGCACGACGTTAAACCCAATTTCACCTCACCTCACCTTAGGAGTCAAGTTGCCTAACACGGTCACCCATCAAAGACTCTCCGCGCCCAACGTTGCTTAACTTCAACTGATTGTGACAGCACCACACATCTCTACTTTAACGTTTCGCGAACACCTGGTGTTCTCACTGACCCATTCATTTAATATTCACCGTTAGTATGGCTTTAGGGGGCTGTGGATAGCCTAGTGGTTAAAGCGTTCGCTCGTCACGCCGAAAATCTGGGTTCGATTCCCCACATGGCTACAATGTGTGAAGCCCATTTCTGGTCTCCCCCTCAGTGATATTGCTGGAATGTTGCTAAAAGCGGCGTTAAACCAAAACTCACTCACTCACTTATTTTAATCAAGGTAAGAGACCATCAGTTTTGTGGGGGATCATTTTGAGGCAGCCTGACAGAAGTGAGTCGATAAACAATTGGGTGTTAGATCGTCGTGTAAGTGTGGCCGACCTGGTATTGGTAGACCAGCAATGACTGGGTCGAAAAATACAAAGTGCATTCCTGGAATGGCGTGTCTACGTCCATCGGAGCAATATCCATTATATCGACGTATTGGTATTAAAGGTTATTTTGGTTTCGCAAAATGTACATTTGCAATTAAGGCTGGAATTGCACTACCGTGATCTAAACAATAAGGTATTCGACAGTTCCCAACTTATAAAGAAGATTAATGTTATTAGGTATGCTTTAGCTGATATTATGTTCTTCCAACACAGTGTTAGAGCACCATTGGCGCGGTGGGTAGCTTAGAAACTAAAACGTTCAGTAATCACGCCAAAGGCCCGGGTTCGATTCCCCACATGGGTACAAGGAAGACCATTTCTGCTGATATTGCTAAAAAGTAAAAGTAAACTCACTCACTTCTAGCACCATTGACGTTGGAATTTGTGTTGAAATGTTCAAAAACTAACGGTGGCATATTACCAAAAGACAATGAGTCATTAGTAGCGACAACCTGTGCTTTGAAAGGAGTGCCTTCAATTATACTATACATGTACATAATAGATTTAAGAAATTCAGCATGTCCTGCGATGGATTTTCTTTTCTGTTTAGATGTATATATTTTATGTTTATTTTAGGAACAGATTAATTGCTTTGGAAAAAAAACAACCCAAGAAATAGTCATGGGCATATAATATGTCTACTGACCAAGAATTGATCATGTCATCGTATCCCAATTGCGTAGATCAGTACTCATGCTTTTGATCACTGGATTGTCTGGTCCAGACTCGATTGTTTTCAGACCGCCGCCACATAGCTGGAATATTGCTGATTGCTGCGTAAAACTAAATTCATTTACTCAATCGCTCACATGACTGCTTATGAATCAACAGATTCTGTTTTTGTCTCGTATCAGTTGTGAATTATCACCAGATTGGGGCTTTACTGTACCCATGTGAGGAATCAAAAACGGGTCTTCGGGGTGACGAGCGAACGCTTTAACCATCATGCTGCACCATCACCTCTCGGAGTTGCCAGATTTCAAAGATAAGGAAGACTTTACACGATTCAAGTTTGCACTTGCTATGGCAGCCATGATCCTTTCATACACATTTCATGGCTATTGTGCCTTCTACCCCCAATGTTACAGCAGATAATCAAGATTGTGTTGTGATCAGATCACGTCGTTTATAATTACCGTACTTGAATAAAATACAACCATTAAAGAGTTTGTTATGCGGGATGTGTCTGTTCACGGGATATAAACTTGACTTTAGGACATGACTTGAATTTTGTTATGTGATTTTGTGCATAAATCTATGAACGAATCAATCAGGGTTGAAATTAAAGTTCTTGGCTTTCTGTTGTGGGTGTTCATGGATGCCAGGGTTTAACGTAACGTCACACAGTTCCATTCGTCCTTTATCCACCCGTATACAGCAAAGCCCCTTCATTCTGGAAACTCCCCTTTCTGGACTATTGAGTGAGTGAGTTAAGATTTAAAGTCACATCGGTAATATTTCAGCCATATCGTGACTTCTGGACTATTGCGTTTTTATGAGTGAGTGAGTGTACTTTTACGCACTCAGCAATACTCCAGCTATATGGCAGCGGTTTGTAAATATTCGAGTCTGGACCAGACAATCCAGTGATCAACAGCATGAGAATCGATCTACGCAATTGGGATACGATGACATGTATCAACCAAGTCAGCGAGCCTGAACCCCCGATCCCGTTAGACGCCTCTTACGACAAGCATGGTTATTACGTTTTAGAACGACATTGATGCGAACGTGTAACCTGCTGCTATAAACAATTTTTACCTGTATTTAATGGTAATGACATCATCTGGTTTAAAGAGGTTTCACTATACTCACTCAAAGCACTTATGTTACAATATATGCCCAGCATACATGTTACAACATAAGCAATAACTGCTTCACGTTTACGGCAAGATATAGTTAACTTATAGTCCACACTGCTTCACGTTTACGGCAAGATATAGTTAACTTATAGTCCACACTGCTTCACGTTAGGGCATGGTATAGTTAACTTATAGTCCACACTGCTTCACGTTTACGGCAAGATACAGTTAACTTATAGTCCACACTGCTTCACGTTTACGGCAAGATATAGTTAACTTATAGTCCACACTGCTTCACGTTTACGGCAAGATTTACCACACTGCTTCACGTTTACGGCAAGATACAGTTAACTTAGTCCACACTGCTTCACGTTAAGGCATGGTATAGTTAACTTATAGTCCACACTGCTTCACGTTTACGGCAAGATACAGTTAACTTATAGTCCACACTGCTTCACGTTTACGGCAAGATATAGTTAACTTATAGTCCACACTGCTTCACGTTTACGGCAAGATATAGTTAACTTATAGTCCACACTGCTTCACGTTAAGGCATGGTATAGTTAACTTATAGTCCACACTGCTTCACGTTTACGGCAAGATATAGTTAACTTATAGTCCACACTGCTTCACGTTTACGGCAAGATATAGTTAACTTATAGTCCACACTGCGAGCAATTAGTTTTTAAAAATCGTAGTAATTTGTTGGTCTTCATGCAGCAAAGTGTACATTCGTGCCAGATGTATCTATATGTATTGAGTGAGTGAGTGAGTGAGTGAGTCTAGTTTTACGCCGCTTTTAGCAATTTTCTAGCAATATCACGGCGGGGGACACCAGAAATGGGCTTCACACATTGTACCCATATGGGAATCGAACCCGGGTCTTGGGCGTGACGGGTGAACGCTTTAACCACTAGGCTACCCCGCCACCCCTGTGTGTATTGCATGTTGGCAGTTTGTGATTGATTGTATGACTTTAAATGATTTCAAATGCACTCAAACCGCTAATCGATGTTCTATCATTTTGCAAGATGCAGTGATGACTATCCTCAAGGCAGCTACACTCTCGGTACTCTTCATCATACAGTTTGAGTCGGTTCCTTGTCAGCAGACTCAGAATGTAAGCAGTTCAAGTAAGTGCCAGATGTTCTTAAATACCATTATCAGTATGCCAGCTTGGGTACCAAGTCCGCATTGTCTGTGAGGTGAGGTGAAATTTGGGTTTAACGTCGCGCTGGAGAATATTTCGCTCATATGACGACGTGCATGCGTATGTGTATGTGCGGCTGCTTGTACTAGCCCAGACTGAAGCTGGTTTTATAGTGCTAGCCCACTGAGATACCATGCCGCAGTGAAGCATGAATACCCCACTCAGACACATTATACTAACTCCGAGCCGACCAGTCCTTGTTGTACCCATTAATGCCGAGCGCCAGGCAGGGACCAACAAGTACCACATTTTAACGTCTTTTGGTATGACGCGGTCGGGGATCGAACCCGCGACCTTCCGCTCTCCGGTCAGACGCTCTAACCACTACACCACTACACCATTGTTTGTAGAGTAGTGACTATAAGGTGGCAGTTAGCGGCTTCTAGCCCAATTCTATATTGTGTTGCTTATTGTTAGTTTGACATCTTACATTCTCTCTAACCTATTGTTCAATATAATATGTGATAATCTAGTTTTACAGGATGTTATGCCGTTTAAATACATTTGTTAATAAGGTATAAATTTCTCTTGTCACGGTGTGGCTTAAATATTGTCGATTCGACATCACTCACTCACTCACTCACTCGTGTAGTAGCCTGTTGTTCTTAGGCTGTTGTTCATCAATGGCCCACGTATATTCGTGTGTGTACTATTGGGAATATTTGGGAATATTTTTATTTCACAGTAAATATCCTATTTTCGACTCTTATGACTAAATGCACGTTTTGATTGTTGAACAGATCATAGCCAGGTTCTGATTCTTGGAGCCGGGATATCAGGCTTGTCGGCGGCGAAGACCCTGGTTGAAAGAAACATCAGTAACTTCCGGATTCTGGAAGGTTCGAATAGAATTGGAGGGAGAATAAAATCCGTCACATTTGGTGGCCAGACTGTAGAGGAGGGAGCGAACTGGGTGATAGGCAGAGAAGGCACCCCTCTGTGGGATGTCGTCCATAAGTACAACGTGTCGGGGAAAAAGTCAAATTGGGACAGTGTTTTAATCAGAAACTCCCGCGGAGAAGATGTCACCGACACAGAAGGGGAGGACGCATGGACCAAGTTAGAATCAGCACAAGTGACCTTGTCCGAGATCTTCAAAAGATTTGAGGACAACAAAACGGTGGACATGTCACTTCGAGCCTGTCTGGACATCGGAAGATGGTCCCCCAAAACGCCCGTGGAAAAGGTTGTAGAGATATTTGACTACGATTTTGAATATGGAGGAACACCTGGAGTGACTTCCTGCAATAGTGTCGGGATAAATGATGAGCCTGTCAAAGATCTGTACTATGTTATGGACGAAAGAGGTTTTGAGTTCATACTTAAGACAATTGCTAAAGATGCATTATTACCCAATGATCAGCGATTACACCTGAATGAAGTCGTCACAGACATCACCTATAACGACACCACTGTGGTAGTGACCACCCAGAACGGCAACATCTTCACGGCAGACGTTGTCATAGTTACTTTCAGTATTGGAGTCCTGAAAAGTGGTTCTGTCACCTTCAACCCTCCACTCCCAGACTGGAAGATCGACAATCTGTACCGAGTCATGTCAGAAAACTATCTTAGCGTGTATCTCAAATTTCCGAACACCTCATCTAGGTTCTGGGACGACACTGAATACATCCTGTACGCTGATGACAGACGGGGCGTCTTTCCAGTCTGGCAGAACCTAGAGGCTGAAGGACTGTTTCCCAATGGAACCAATATTCTCCAGATGGTGACACAAGGGGAAGATGCGGACAGAGTGTCGGATATGAATGATACAGAAATCACAGCTGAGGTGATGGCCATCCTTCGGCGTGTCTACACCAACGTTGTCGACCCGGAAGATGTATTCATCACCAACTGGAAGACTAACCCGTTATACAGGGGATCCTTCTGCAACATGGAGGCACCGGCTCTCAACTCTGTGATCTTTGAAGCTATACGAGCTCCTGTGGGCAACGTCTTCTTTGCTGGGGAAGCTTTTGACCCGAAATTCGCCTGTTATACAACCGGGGCTGCGAGGAGTGGAATCTACACTGCTGATAAGGTGGTTACGCATCTTGCTGATGAGGGGGTTACGCATCTTGCTGATGATGGTGTTACGCATCCCTCTTCTTGTCCATCTGGAATGAAACGGGCTAATGCCAAATCAATCATTGGTTTACTCTTACTGTTTGTAATAACAAGCATATAGTCGGTATATCGAGAAGTGCATCTGGGCGCAGTCCAATTCCTTTAAAATATGCAAGTTAATGTCTTGTGTTCTGGCAAGATATGAGAAATGTCGGCTGCATGCAATATATGTTTGTAACTTGTGCTGCTTTACAGGGGACATTAACAGGAATTTAAACAAATTGGACAAAGGTGTGAGGATTTTCTCATTTGAAAGCATTGTTAAAGGTTCACCTGTATGTATATGTAAAAACGTTTTAGGTGTTAAATATCCCAAACGTGATGATTTATGGTGAATGTGGCCGTTTACAACTCTATTTAGAAGCACAGATAAAAGCTATCAAATACTGGGTAAAGCTCTTGGATATGCCTGCATCAAGATTCCCAAAGAAATGCTATAATATGATGTGTTTGTTTGACACTAACGAAAAATGAAATTGGATAACGAACGTTTACTTAATCCTCGTGGTTTTAGTTATATTTTTGTCACAAAAGATTATTTGCCCAAGATCGTTGTATAATGCCATATCACAAAGGAGATAAAAGATATGTACATTCAGTCATGGCTGACTGACTGAGGTTAGTTTTACGCCGCCTTTAGCAATATTCCAGCAACATCACGGCGGGGGACACCTGAAATGGGCTTCACACATTGTACCCATGTGGGGATTCGAACCCGGGTCTTCAGTGTCACGAGCGGACGCTTTAACCACTAGGCTACCCCACCGCCCATTCAGTCATGGCATTCATCTTTAGTAGTCGCCCAAATCCACCTTTTACATTACTTATATAAATCTACCGCCACGATATCAATTTCAGAAAATGTTTCGTTTCATTATTCAGATTTACATGTTGTTCACGTGATCTTATGATCGAGAAGGGTAGAAATCATAATATTCAAAGAGAAATAGGATCGTGTAAATTTGGTACAATAAATGTAATTGAGAATGAGTTCCGCATTTTGCTGGTATGTCCTTACTACATAGATTTAAGGACACAATATCTACCACAATAATACCATACATATCCTTATACCTGTAATTTGATTTGTTAATGAACACTATTGACACAAATAATATTCTCAAACTTGGTATGTATATCCACCCTATATAGAATACATATGGTAAAAAGAAAACACCATGTACAAACATTGTGATTGTATTAGTGTTGGGAATTGGTTAAAATCTCATAATTGATGATTGATTCATTACAATCGATCAATCATCGAAAAGAATTGGTTAGCGTCATTTATGAAATTTGTTAATGTACACAAAAATTAGGGAAAAAACATGTAGTTCTTTTGGGTTTTTGGGGGGCAAAATTTCACATCTTTAAAGGATGACTAGTATGTTAGGAACATAAATTTCTTAGAGTCTTTAAGATAACTTCAATCATGACTTGGAACGAGCTTGTAGTGCTTATGGAATGTAACAGACAAAACCAACCTAGTGAAAAATACTGTTAATGAAAACGTGTTCCAGAATTGTTTGTGTTCGATTATGAGAAAACAGGATCGATTGCTTGGTCGTTTAGTCAGTGCGACCAATCTTCGATTATTTCAATTAATCGGACCACCACTAGATTGTATGCCATTACTGTTATCTGACTTTGTACCATAGGACTGGAACTGGAATACGTGAGTGAGTGAGTATGGTTTTACACCGCTTTTAGCAATATTCCAACAATATCACGGCCTGGGACACCAGAAATGGGCTTCACACATTGTACCATGGTTGGGAATTGTACTCGGTCTTCAGCATGACAACCACAAGACTACCCCACTGCACAGGATAGACGGGAAGCAGTTTCCATGGTTACATCCACTGTATTCCTATCCATGGTGCTATACACATGGGGGTAAAACCTTCCTTTAATAACACCTGGTGGTCCTCACAAACAATGAGTGAGTGAGTGAGTTTGGTTTTACACAGCTTTTCAGCTGGTCCAATATTCCAGCAATATCACGGTGGGGGACACCAGAAATGGGCTTCACAATAACACCTGGTAGTACCCATGTGGGGAATCGAACCAATGGCCTTCGACATAAAGTGGGCAAACGCTTTAAATCGAACCTTGGCCACATGCAACCAAAACATCAAACAAAAAATAAAACACAATTATCACACATTCATGACATATAATATACATTGCTGATTATGAAAAAAACCAAAAAAACAAGATTATAAGCAATCGCAAATCAAAAGTGCAATATTTTGTACTTGGGTTTACTTCCCTCGAAAAAAAGCAGCCGGGATACCGAACCCAGTCAGAGCGGGTGGGTGTGCACTCAAGTGTAACGAAGGCTTTCACTGGCTGGTTCATTTGCCGATGCCCTCACGGCTCATTGTGTGTGTGTATCACTGTATATAGAGATGTTGGGTTTTGAAAATACACACTCATTTTTGTGTATAACATGTGTCATTACATAATGTGTCATGAGACCATACCTGAGTCTGTGTCATTACATAATGTGACAGAGACCGAATATAACTCAATGCGTTTATTGTATATATCGTATATCACAGTTAGAAATTCTGTCAATGCTAAATAATGACATTGCTTTTTAGCTTTGACAACGTATCGATACTGAGAAATGTGAATCGGTATTGAACTGAGAAAGTGACTCGGTAAGAACGTGTGGTGAAATAGACAAATGAAATTATATAAACAGTTAAATCGGTATTCTACTGTCATAACATATAAAAAGCTCGCGCCTGTGAAATATCAACAAAACATTAGAAAAATAGCTCACATCAATGCCTTCACCGAGTATTCACCGCCAGCGAAGGTTTTCCGTCTTGAAATGTCGAACGCCTCACTGGTTGACACATAGCTGAGTAGATCTAGATCCTAACAAGATTCTTTTATGTAATGAGTAGATTATTTACTATTTGTTTTGATTAGACTACTACTGCTCACGACCTTATAATCCGGACATCCCGCTTCCAAGCTGCGCGAACCTAATTCACTGCGCATGCGCTATGAGCGCAGCACAGCTGTTGAAACCACTTTTCACCCCAAGCGCTGGGGTGAAGTAAGTAAATCGTTTGAACTCCGATTTCGCGGGGGGTTTTCATCGGGTTATTTTTCAACTTTGTAAGTTGAATTTGCATTTTTGATGATTTGTATCTGTAAGTCCATACCGAAAGGTATCAGAATCTGCAAAGTTGTGTTTTACGTTGCATGTGACAGGCTACCCCACCGCCCTGGCCCACAACAAGCTAAATGGAAGTTAAAATACACAACATGCAGAACACAAATACCAACATTGATATTTATTTGGACATCATGATATTACTGTACAGGAAAAACAATTAGTACATCATCAATGTGCAGAGGTTAGGTTCACAAAGCTCTCACACAGGACAAGTAACATCTAACAAAGAGCATCATGAACAATACATCATGTACAATAAACAGGAGCCACTACAAATCACCCATATAGTACACCAATTTCAAACAAACCTTTTTAGACCTCAGTAATTAGTTCCTATAAATTAAATTTGTTATTCGTATGAATTAAAAATCTTTTGATACAAGACTGAGTTCTCGTGGTCAGTATATGTTTTTAATGTTATTAATGCCATTTGTTTTAAAATTTGTATTATTTAAAGGGAACAGTTTTACATTTTTTACAGTTTTACATTTTCACAGACCTTGACAATTAGGATAGGACAATCAGGTGACAAGCCTTACAAATGACACTTAATCTAAAACAAATATTTCCTTTCAAGTTAAACACATACCAGATTGCGTTATCAATATCAGGTACGGTACATCCTTACCTTGATGTCCCTGCTAGGCAATGATCAAATGATATAATTAATAAACTACATCATACTTTTCCGAAATGGGATTTGTTATATGATAATTACCAAGGCTGTGCAATATAACCGGTTTACAGGTAATTACCGGTTCAGACATGAAAACGATACGTATTGCGATACGCTGATCAAAAACCGGTATTTTGACTTGCATTCAGAAACCCTGGTAACACTCGGAAATCTTTGGATATTTCCTTTTTTCATTTGTGCCAAATATTATTCACATTTTTATTTTTAATCATGATTAAAAGTTGTTATTAAAGCTTAATCAAGCATAGTGATTTTGCTGTGTATTTGCTCTATAAATCAAGCATTACCTCGATTATAAGTAGTTTTTTGTTTAAAAATACTTCATGCAATATATTGCAATACATATCGCAATACATGCTTTCGCATCGCAATATATCGCAATATGAAAATTCTCTGCAATACCCACCCCTAATAATTACACCATAAGAAATCAACTATTTGATTACAATCAATCACTGGAATATCCCAACCGAAATTCACTTCTAACTGAGCAACATACATGAAAGCAACTGATTAATGATTATATGTTATGTACACCACTGCACTGTGTATAGGGAGGGAGTTGTGTTGGAGGAAACCTACAGAGATCACATAACTGTTTTATACCACGTAGCCTTTCATTGGTATCAACAGCCTAATCACATTGGCAACTGGAAATAATTCAATAAACTAAATCATTGAAACAAATATACAATTTGTAATCATATTCATGTATACTATTACTAAAACAAGATATTGGTGTATCACTAAAGCAAAAGAAACAGAAAGAAGCTAATACAATATTTTTCCAAATATACTATTGTTTTACCAATGGTTTTGTTTTTATGTTTGGTATATTTCTTCCTTGCTATGCTCGGTATTTATGTGAGTGAGTGAGTTTGGTTTTACGCCGCTTTTAGCAATATTCCAGCAATATCACGGCAGGGGACACCAGAAATGAGCTTCACACATTGTGCCCATGTGGGGAATCGAACCCGGGTCTTCAGCATGACGAGTGAACGCTTTAACCATCAGGCTACCCCACAACCCCTCGGTATTTATGAATAATAGTAGTACTGAACAGATATGTATGTATTTTCTGGGTATCTTATTCAAACAGCCTGTATACAACCCTTGTTACCTAGTAGTGATCTTATTACTTTACATGTCTATTCATGAGGTTAGTAAAGATACAAAGCCATTGGGGCTGCAACAATTTACTCTGGTAACATCATAATATTTTGTGCCAGAACATCAGCAGAATATGATCAAGTTATGTAACGATGCAAAAGAACACACATGTAAATGAAACGTAAGCCTGTGTGAGGTCGATTCAGTTTGGTTTTACGCTGGTTAGACCAGTATTCCAGTTATATCAGAATGTGTCAGTTTAATATGGGATTAAAGCTTGCAAAATTAAGAAACATAATTGAGGCAAATTGTGATTCGAACCCATTATTATAGGTTCTTGGACAGCAAAGGGAAGCAACTCCGCTGGGCTAATTACCATGGTATGAGAAAAAAGAGCCCTACAAACTAAAAACATATTTCCTAAAAGTATGTGCAAGAATTATCAAGCTACCATCAGCTCTACTCAAGCTTAATAAACATGTTTAAGTTGGGTCAAGCATGGCTTGATAGCATAACATAACACAAGTCTTGAGTTTCAATTTGTAGTAATTCTGTGTAAGCAAGTTTGGTTGGCGCTGTATATAGTATTTCAGCTACAATGACAGCTTGATGAGAAAAAAGCCAAAATTAATGTCTTGGACATTTACCACTTAAGTATTCAACCAATGA